GCAGCGATGTCGCAACATCCACAGTTTCCGTGGTATCGCCTGCAGCAAGGGGGTTTTAGTGGTTCACAGCCTGTGGATCGCGATGCTGTTCAAGTTCGTGAGAGCTTACAAGAGGCATTGCGCACATTCCTGTGTCCTGAACAAGATGGCCACTTCCATGAGGAGCTCATTTTTGCTTTGAAGGCAGCGTGTAAGGTTCCTGTTCCATTCGAGACCATTCGTTCTGCATTATGGTGCTGGCTACAGGATTTCGAGAGGACCGATTCTCGGATCTTCAAAGCAGGCTGCGAAGTGCATAGTTGGCTTGAGAATCTTGCGACACAGACGCATCAAGATGATGTGCAGGATGGGGACCACATGCTCACAGATGAAACCAGTCGACGAGCAATTACTTGCAAGGCAACTGAACAAAAGTTGCGAAGTTTTTTTGCCTTCGGAACTGATCATACTCCACCTCTTTAGCGGAAGGAGAAGGGAGAGGGACATCCAAATGGAACTGGAAAGCCTGCCACTCCCTGAGGGAGTTGTGATGACAGTGGTCTCTGTTGATGTCGCTATCGACCCGAGCCGTTGTGACCTCTCCAAGGATGACCAGCAGAAGTTGTGGCATGATTTGACCCGCGGAGGTTTTGTCGCAGGGCTGTATGGCGGACCGCCCTGTGAATCCTGGAGCATCGCGCGTTGGGAACAACTAACGCATGGGCTACAACGAGGACCTCGTCCAATTCGCTGTGATCCTGAGCTATGGGGTTTGGATAGCCTTTCCAAACGGGAGGGTCAGCAAGTTTACATAGGAAACGTTTTGATGCTCTTCTGTTTGAAAGCTGTCCTTTTGCAAGCCCTCACAGGAGGTTTTTTCGTGGTTAGAGCACCCCCGAAATCCGCATAAGAGTGGAACGCGACACACTAAGGCCCCATCTATTTGGATGACTCAGGTCATTAGATGGTTCCACGAGACTGGTCTCTTTGCCTTTTTAGATGTGTTGCAAGGGTACTTTGGGGCGGACAGCCCAAAACCGACCACTCTTATGCTGTCTGGGGTTGAGCTCCCCGATGCACAGCACCGTGAACGTTCTTTGCGTAGTGCTACTTGTGCCAAGGGGTCCAACATAGGTCTAGAAGGAGGGAAGTGGCGTACGAGTCATCTCAAGGAGTATCCGCCAGCCTTTTGTCACTTTGGCGCTACCCTCTTTCGACGATGGTTGGACCGACAGCCGGTCCGGACTGAAGCGTTCGTAGAGTCGACAGAATGGCTCCGGAGCTTGGTGCTGGCCTTTGAAGATCAGCAGCTCCACGAACCCAGACCGGATTTTTTTTGCAGGTAATTAATGAATTCGCCCAGCAAGACGCTGAGCTTGACGTCGAGCACTATGCGTCAATGGAAATGGAAAAAAATGTTCTGAGATGTTTTGAAGTGTGCACTGAAGTGCACAGTGGTGATTCAACGTCACTGCTTGTAGAAACATACACATCAGCTTCACTATGGGTTTGCGCATGCCATTTCACTCCTAGAAACTTGCCTTGATTACGTTTCTGTCTGAATCGACGTTCGTTGCTTTCATCTATACGGTCTATACGGCGATCTGACTTCTAATACTTCAATGCAGAAAGCTCTACTTTCGACATACTTTTCTCTAGACAGTGTTGCTTTTCGCTACTTGTGTAGAAACCACGTTTTTTCGGACATGTTTCTTTGTTTCTCTCTAAACGTCTCAAGTCTTTACCTTTGCCTACATTTCTGAAAAGCTCTATTTTCATTATGTTCGTCGTTGTTTGAAGACATGTATGCTGTCTTTTTTAAGAGCACCCTTTGATGATAAAAACTATCGTGGTCAATGTACTTCATGAAGTTTAGAACCAAATTTCGCAATGGTCGTTGAAAGAGAAGAGTTGATCTTCCGGACAAACTGTCGTTGCAAAACTCCGCTCAAAGGCACAGAAGCTTGGTCAAGATACGTTTGCAGAAGATGCTCGTTCTGCAGTTTCTTTTACTAGGAGCAAGGACGCTACTAGGGGCTCCTAATTGGCTTCGACATTTTCGCATTTGTGGGCATCGGAATCTTGACCTAGGAGCCGCAGGAGAAAAAGGTTTCTGAGTACGCCAAATGGATGGAGCAAGGCCGTACTGCGTACTGTGTCAATATGTCTCAGTGCCGGTTGTTCCCTCCTCTCAAGGTGAAACATCAACAGCGACTCCGCCAAACCAGGCGGGCAGCGATACATGTAGAGAGGGGGGGTTAGATGCAGGTCATTGAGCTGAGGCAAAACGAAATTAGCATGTTAGTTCAAGCGAGAAGTAGTTGGACGACCCCACACACCGACGGTTTTGTAGCACTGTTGAGAAACTTGGCCCGGCATATGATGCAGCAGAATTGATGTATCCACACGGCCAAGTCTAGGCACGTTGCATGTTCTGTGGTTTTTACCTTGCTTTGTTGTTCAAGCGGCGAGGTGTTGTTTCAATCCAGCTAAATTGTAGTTAAGTTAAGACCCTTAAAAGGTGCCACTGATCTCTGTCTTAAAGTTCTGTGCCTCTTTCCATTTTCCAGAGTTCTTGATGTGCCTAGTTGAAAGACCCGAAGAAGTTGCATCCTCGGTTAAAAGCTGAAAGCGTTAGGCGGTATACGCGTATGCACGTGTTTTTGCACACGTCACCGAAGCACCAACTACCGAAACATCCACCGCCCATGTCGTACACGTATAAAACCAGAAGTCGCCTGGGGGTGACAGCCAAATCACCAAACGGAAACCATTTACAAGCCCAGTTTTATTTCAACTCACAAGTTGAAATAGAATCCTGGTATTTAAGAAAAAGAATACACATGGCCATGCAACATTTGGGCCTCAAGCACGCGCAGGTACAACAGAAGCATGTCTCCTTTTGATGTGTGATGTGATTGGCTTTCATGGGGAGGACGAAATGGAGGCCATCGCTATTAGGTTGGAGGCCATTGCTTTTAGAAACAAAGAAAACATGGAAGACAGGACTATATAATATAAAGGAAACCATAGGTCTCGGTGCAGAGTGCGAACCACGACAGTGATTGAAGTGCTTGGTTGCCGCCAAGCATGCTAAGCACGTCTGAAGTCCAAACAGGACCGCCGGTCGCATGGTCCACACACAATTGCACGTATATACACGCGCGAGCGCGCGCGCAACGCCACGATGCAGAAATTCGCTGGCAGGTTTGCAGCGGGACTGTGTGCGTCTCCAGGAAGTTGGTGCCACGCAGGGAAGTGAAACAAATCCATGTGAGGAGCCGCTCGGTGACACGTTGGGACAAGTGTCTAAGTGTCCAACACAACCAGTTCACAGTTGGTCACCGTGTCCGGTGTTCCGTCAACAACTCTTCGAAAGGTGGTGCGTTGATCGACTTCATCGAGTTCGCTTTCACGACTGGAGAGCCGCTGAAAATCGGCGAAGGGAAAGGTGACGAACAAGAGCCTTTCACCTTGGAGCCGGGCGAGGTGAGGCCAAACCCAGGGCCTAGGGCCTCGGACCTAGCCTAGTACAGACTTGTAGGCAGGTGTAGGCAGACTTGTTCCAGGTCTGCGCGGTGTATATAAAAATGCAGATATTCATGGTGTGCTAGGGAGGATCCACCTTGCCACTGTGCTCTTCAGCTTTGGTATGGGATCAGGCTATCATTGCTTCCATCACAATTAGACCAACCTAAAACTTTAATGTGTTTGTCATGTGTTTTTTGCCACTCGGTGGTATATGTGGTATTTATTTTGAAATTCGACTGTTTGCTTGGTAGGTCATCACTGAGATCCACGGTGGGCAAGGTGCTTTGCTGGATCGAGTGCAATTCGTCACCAGTTTGGGGCGAACTTCTTCAGCCTATGGCGGAACAGGGGGAGAAAACTTCACATTCAAGGCCCGATAGGAACAAATGACAGTGCATGGGTACGTTTTAGGGTTTTGTTTGACTTTGCAGGCATCGTTTGTATTCCAGCGAGACCTTTATTGGAAGACCAAGAGGTAGAGACGGTATCTCTTGCCGGTTCGTGATGTTGGAAGTTATCTTAATAGCATGGCCCTGCGCGAGGTGACAGAAGGGAAGATGATTACTGGTTTGGACCGAGCCGCCACACAGCTTGAATCCTATAAGGGGGGCCATTTATCGATGCCCTTGTTACTGGTAGCTTCTAGCTACAGCTACTAACAGCTAGTAGTAATGCCCTTGTTACTAGCAGGTTCCGGCACCATTCTAGCCCAACCTGAAATCTTACCCCTCACCACCCTCCCAGCTCTTCCAGATCCAGGTTGGATTGGCGGGCAAAATTACTAATATCCACGAATCTCTATCCAGACCTTTGACGGAAGCCGAAAAAGCGTATGACGAAGCTACCTTAAATTTGGAGGCGGGCCGAAGGGCCCGAGTGACGGCGTGGTCTAGACGACTAGTTGCTACACTGCGGAGAAAAAGCTCCTGCTTGCTTGCATTTGGCAGGGGCATGGCTACTAACATGTGCCTTACTAGTAGTAACAAGTGCCACGCTAGTAGTAACATGTGCCTTACTAGATGCTTTCGCTTTCAGGCTGCTCGACGAAGTCTTGACGCCAAAGAAGTGGAATTGGGGAAGTTGCGGCTCAAGATCGAGGACTCCACTGGAACACATGCTGCCTACAAGGCTTTGCAGAAATGCGGTGAGTCAACCGTGGGTGAATACTCCTACAAGATTTGCCCCTTTGAAGATGCCAAGCAGGGACATGTGCCTTGTCAAAAGGTTCGGCTTTGTTTTGATGCCTGATCTCATCCCATTGCAGACGAGCATAAGGATGGGTAAACTTCATTCTTCCCGTTCCAAGGTGAGTTTGGGAAGATGGAAAGGTTGGGCCATGGACAATCCTCACACCGGTCTTTTTGAAGGAGGTGAACGATGTTTCAGCGGCATCGTGCGATCATTGCGGGTCACCTTTGAGTGTGGAGAAGATTATGCAATTGAGAGTGCTCCTTGGATTTTGTGTTGCGGATCTTTTGCTGTGCAGGTCAGCAGCGCTACACTGATGCATTTCCACATATTTCCAATCAATGGCACAGCAATCGGATGATTGAAGTGCCACGTTTCCAAGGTGAAAGAACCAAGTCAGTGTGTTTATGAAGCAACTATGACGCATCCTGCTGCCTGTGACCCCAAAGCTTTTGAAATCGGTGAAGACAGGGTCTTGGGACCACATGAAGCTCATGTGGAACTTTGACAAGAAGCTACAAACAACATCAAACAACCTATGTCATCTATGTTGGATGTTTCATGAGAGGGACCCTCTTTTTTGCTGTCAACAGGAGAAGAAAGAACACGAATATTCGGTCGGAGGCCATCGCTACTAGGGTAGAGAAATCCAGTTTAATAAATGAAAAATAGCCCAAAAACGAACGACATAAAAAAGCGGCGGATTAGAAATCTTTTTGATGCCCCGCGCCGTTGCGTGGTGCTACGCTTGGGCGGCCGTGAGCCGCAGCACCGTCTCACCCGATAGACCGACCAAGGTTTTTGGTTCAAAAGCTTTGTGACAGAAGTGATCTTGGGAAGAAATTCTATAAACAGTAAGGAATTTAGCACATGTTCAAAGTGGTGCTATTTGTTGATTTGGAAGAGTGTGTCGAGACATTTGGAGATGTCCGTCCAGTCATTTGGCTCAAGTCTGAAGAACAAAACACGTCCAAAACACATAAAACATCATGTGACCTTGACCCATCAATCCTGTTAATTAATGCCAGCCGAGTATATTTATATTCCCATTTTCGGAGTGGAGTGCTCGCAATCAAAGCGACACGATGCGAAAGTTGCTGAAGCATAGCGGTTCCGCATCTCGTGACGGAAATGCGAGGTGAGGCACCGAGTATCTCACCGGGTTTATGCGGATGCGGCGGATGCCCCTATCCGAAAGGCAGTAACATTGCCTTGGGTATTTTCCCCGTGCCGAGCCTCGTTTGGCCCCAAAGCACTCCAAGCATCTCGGAACACTCCAGCACTTCAAGCCCCAGACGAAGGCAGAGAATGGAGTGCAGAGCCATGGTGCTTTCGTAAGTCATTCATGAAAGATCATGAAACGTTTGGAGACGCCGGTTGTCCCCCAACATTTCAACCTTTCAAGGATTGCTTTTCAAGGTTAAGTGTGCAGTGTGTCTCTCAACAATGTGCATCATGTGCCCTTCCCAGTTACACCCTGGAGGTTTGAGTTTGGGCCATTTCCTTCGTCCAAACCGCTGTTGCCACCTCCAAGCCACGCCGCTTGTCTAGAATTCAACAGAACCTCCCCTTTCCGCAAGGTGGATGAGACTCAGGCTATGATGGGGCTGGTCCATGTGAGTACCGGAATGAGGGTTGAAATGGATACTGTATGCATGTTATTTTTGTTAGTTTTTTCTCCTTGTTATTGTTTCTTTATGTGTCTTTCCTCTCAAGCCCCTTCACCTTCCACGATGCCACAATGCTTTGGGAAATGTTGGCCCAATCTTTAGACAATCGCGCCAGCATGTTAAACATTGAACTGTACCCCCTCCCCACACACAGAAAGACAGCAACTCTCCTATACTGGATACGTGCCTGAGCTATTCTAAGCCTTATACTGGATACGTGCACTTGCCACCCCGAATGATCTGTGAGCTTGAGGCGGCGCCGACCGCGTCGACCGCTTCCCGACCTAGTGGGCAGAATTCGCGGAACCTCGAGGAATACTTGAAGCGTATGCAGATGATTGGAGAGGCAAATCAGCAGCAGCTGGAAATCCTGCAAAGACATTGGGATCTCATTGGTGGTGCAGACAATGACTTGGCGGTATTAAAGAAAGAGCACATGCTTTTGAAGCACAAGCAGCTCAGTCTCCTCCAAGAGGTGAATAGATCAATTTCTGAACTGCAGGAGAGACTTCACAGAGAAACTTCACAGCAAACTGCGTTGTCAGCACAGCCAGCACAGCCACAGCGCCATCGCTCCGCGCTGAAAGCGGAGAGCTTCGAAAATGAAAGCCGAGACATGCGAGACATGCCTTTTCGAGTCTTAATCGTTGGGGCCGACGGGCTTCTAGGGCGAGAGCTTTTCAAAAAGAGACGATCTTCTGCCTGGAGATCCTCAAATTTAGTGCTGCAAGGTATTTCAAATCGTTCGAACCTTAAAGATCAAGAGATCGTCACTTGCGAGCTTGGCTTTTCAGCTTTGCACTCTCAGATGCAATCCTTCAAACCTCATGCTGTTCTACACTTGACTGGCACTCAGCTTGACGAGTTGGAGAATGGTGACTTCATTGCCGCTACCTCGGCTCTCGCTTCAGCCTGTGATCTTTGTGGCGTTTTGCTCATCCATCTAAGCTCTGACAGCGTTTTCGATGGATTCATGGGGCCATACTCGGTCGATGCCGAACCACGACCTACAACTCAGCATGGTCAATTGCATCTTGAAGCAGAGCAGCTGATTCTTGGAGGCCATTGCTACTAGGGTGGAGGCCATTGCTATCAGGTTGGAGGCCATCGCTATTAGGTTGGAGGCCATCGCTATTAGGTT